TCTAGTTGTTTAGAAGACCATTCAGGGCGCTGCATTTCAGGTAAGGTGAGAGCTTGCCTCTTATTCTGCGACGCAAGGCAAGCTACTCTAGAATTATTAATCGGAGATGCAAAAGCAGGAGACTGGACTGGGAAAGAGGATTGAAGACGGGCCTCAGCCTCCGCCTGAGCCATGTGTGAGAGCTGGAATTGGGATGTGGGCGAAATAAAGGGTTGGGACTCAGGCCTCAGATGGGATAGGCGCTGGGCCTGGTAAAGCAGTGGAGACATTGTAGTCTCTGTTTGAACCGGGCGGACATTGGGAATGCCATTGAACAAGAAAGGAAGAGACTGTAAAGTATAAGATCTCTCAGACACCCAGGCATTAGCCACCAAGGATTCGCTGTGCAGAGAGGGGAGGCCCCAGAAAAGCTGGCTATAATTCGTCTGAAAATGTTCCTTCAGGATTCCAGGATCCGAGAGCTTCTCAGGATTGGACGATTGTTTCAAGTCTTCCATGTCCCGGATGGGTTTTAGGGTTGTGGTGTCCTGCTCAGCATTCAGTGATTTCACCAAATTCCCCAAAGAATTGAAGTGCTTTTTCGTGTTCGTTTGTTTTGGAAATGATCCATGTTTTTCTTACTTCTCCCCAATGTTGATCCTGGCTCTTTCTGTGACTTGCATTCCGACGACATTGTGGCCATCAGAGCTGAGCAAAAAGGGGCTTTCAGCTTCCATCTGACTGTTTGTGGGGTCTCCTGAGGACGAGGTTTCTGGTGGGTGGCCGGAAAGCTGATCTTGCTGGACCGATGTGTTGGAGACGCACCGGGTTCCGGTAGTTTCCTGACACCAGAATGCAGGCACAGAGATATGATTGCTTGAGCCGCCAAGGCCTGAGATGGCTGAGCCAGAAGTCGCCACATCCTCACAGGGAGATAAGCTTTGATGGATGGTTCCCAGTGGAAGCGCCACTGAGTCACAGTGAGATGGAATCGTCGGAGTGGATTCCCGCAGGGGAGGAGCAATGAAGCCTTTCAGAGGAGGCAGAGAGCAGGCCAGAGGATCAGGGGTGTGCGGTGGGTTAGGGAAAAGCGCAAGTGGCTCAGGTGAGGGGTGTTCCAGGGGAAGGGAAGGCTCTGGTGGTTGGGAGGCACTCAGAGGGGAGACTGAGGTGGCCATTGGGCCTGGTGATGGGGTGGAGACCAGAGGCAAAGGATGCTGGGTTTGAGGATCCGGGGAAGCTAATGGGGAAAGCACGGGAGCAGCATCTTCCATCGGCTCCTGAGGGGACTGGGAGGCTCCATCAGGTACTCTTTTGCACTCCTCACCTGGGGGATCTGGACCAGAGAGCTGACCAAAGTTGCTTTTCTCAGGATGCGGCCCCGGGATGCTGCAAGAGACAGGAGGCACAAGCTGCAGCCAGGAGCTGGTAGGGCCTTAGGGCAGAGTGGGCGCGTGGGCCCCGGCCCTTCCACCGCCCCACACCCAGAGCCCCCAATTCTCCTATGCCCCTCCTCTGCCCTACACCCTGATTCCTCAATTCTCCTTCTATGCCCCTCCACTACCCCACACCCTGACCCCCCAATTCTCCTATGCTCCTCCACCACCCCACACCCAGACCCCCCAATTCTCCTCCTATGCCCCTCCACTGCCCCACACCCTGACTCCCCAATTCTCCTCCTATGCCCCTCCACCACCCCACAGGCAGACTCCTTAATTCTCCTCCTATGCCCTTCCACCACCCTACACGCCAACTCCCCAATTCTATGCGCCTCCACCGCCCCACACCGACTCCCCAATTCTCCTATGCCCCTCTACTGCACCACACGCCAACTCCCCAATTGTCCTCCTGTGCCCCTCCACTGCCCCACACCCAGACCCCCAATTCTCCTATGCCCATCCACCACCCTGCACACTGACTCCCCAATTCTCCTCCTATGCCCCTCCACCACCCCACATGCTGACTGCCCAATTCTCCTCCTATATGCCTCCACCGCCTCACAACCAGACTCCCCAGTTTTCCTCCTATGCCCCTCCACCGCGCTGCACCAAGACTCCCCAGTTCTTCTCCTACCCCTTTCTCCTACCCCTTATTCCCATCCTCTGTCCCCCTGGTCTCCTCATCCCAGGTCAGCTCCAGGCTGCCATAACGCCCTGCCCTGGGGTCGAATCCCAGCCCGGTAAGAAAGATGCAGGGAAGGGGAAGTGCCTCACCGCTGCAGTTGTGAAAGCAAGTCCAGAAGCCACTCCAGGCCTGTCAGGAGGTCTCTATAAGCTGGAAATCAGGAGACAGGGTTAGGGCAGTGAGAGAGGGGCCTGGGATCTCACAGGAGGCTGAATGGCTGTTTCTTGAGGGAAGACCATGGAGAGTCAGACCCTGGAAACCACATGTCTGTGTCCAAGGCTACATGGCCTGGATGGTGATAGCGAGGCACGGAGGGCAAGGCTTTGTTGTCCACAAAGGGCTTCCACACACAGACCCTCCCCACCCCCGTCCCCATAGTCCTCACAGCTGCCCTGTGGGGAGAAAGGACTGGGGTGGTCTCAAAGAGGAATCAGCCTTAACAGAGTTGAACAGCTGTCCACAGCCCCCTCACCCCTCTCCTGATTCAGACAGGCATTGGTCTCCTCCCTTTATACTGTGCCCTGCTGGGGAACACCCAGTCCTTGGCCCACCATGGTTTCATGCCAGCACGGAATCTGAGAGGTACCCAGGGTTCTGATTTCCTTCCTAGGAGCCCCCACCTCAGGCTTCTTCAATTGACTTCCTCAGACAGAGTCGCTTCTCTCTGGGGACAGACGAGATCAAATGAACTCTAGTGTGCCCCGGCAGAGCCTTACCTTTCAGACTGCAGTTTTTCTTCCTGCCTTTGGGCCTCCCCCTCCGCTGACCCTGGGAGAGAAGGTGACCCTGGGAGACAAGAAAGGGCGAGGGGCTGAGACCAGCTCTCGCTCTCCGCCCCCAGTCCAGCCGCAGCAGTCACGAATTGCACAGCTCTCTGGTCTTGCTCAGGGAGAGGTGTGCTTCTTCCCACTCATGTTTAAGTGGATGACAAACTGCTTTTCTTAGAAAAACACGAAGAGGAGGCCAGACGCAGTGGCTCACTCCTATAATCCGAGTGTTTGCGGAAGCCAAGAAGGGTGGATCACCTGAGATCAGAAGTTTGAGACCAGCCTCGCCAGCATAGCGAAACCCTGTCTCTACTAAAAATAACAAAAATTAGCCGGGCGGTGTGGCGTGTGCCTGTAATCCCAGCTACTCCGGAGGCTGAGGCAGGAGAACTGCTTGAGCCTGGGAAGCAGAGGCTTGCTCTATCACCTAGGCTGGAGTGCCATGGCGTGATCTTGGCTCACTGCAACCTCCACCTCCTGGGTTCAAGCGGCTCTACTGCCTCAGCCTCCCGAGTAGCTTGGACTACAGGTGTGCGCCACCACACCCAACTAATATTTTGTATCTTTAGTAGAGATGAGGTTTCACTGTGTTAGCCAGGATGGTCTGGATCTCCTGATCTTGTGATCCACCCATCTGCGCTTCCCAAAGGGCTGCAATTACAGGTGTGAGCCACCGTGCCTGGCCAAAAGTAAGCATTTAAAATAGACTACTAGAGAATGGATGAGTTCTGGAGGAGGGATGAGCAGGCAATGACTGTGAAAGGGTATGGGGCTTTACTTGGAGCTGATGAAAATGTTATGAAAGGAGAACGGATCCAAGATGGCCGATTGCTAACATCCCGGGATTGCAGCTCTCAGGGAAGGCGCAGAGAAGTAGAGGACGCCACACTTTCAGACAAATTCTGGTCGCTCACGGAACAGAAGATCCCCCAGTGGAGGAAACGCACGGGTGGCCAGCGAGACTCTCGTGCCCGGCGCACGAGACTCTGTCTCAAAAAAAAAAAAAAAAGCTTACTTTTAATAAAGTAATGCTAAATACAATGTGTACATTTTCCCTTAGAAATAATCTCAAAAGCTTATACCGGAGGCAAGACCAGGGTCCAGTGGCTCTCCTAACTGCTCCAGGGTAGACTGGCAGGTGTAGAGGGTCTTTATTTGCCGCCATTTTCAGCTGTGCCTGGACAGCTCTTTGCTCTCCAGTCCAGCTAACGTCTTTTGGGTACCATCCATGTGCCCAGTACTGTACTAAAACTTATAGGCTTTGTGACAATAATGAAGAGCACCTCAGACCTCAGGATTTATGGCAAAGAGCCAGCAGCCCAGGACGAAAGATCTCAAAGGGACACAGCTAAATTTCACAGTGGTGGTGGGGAGGGTGATATCAAAGGGGAGAGTGAGAAAACATCCATCTGGGAGGATGAAGAGGTCCACATGAAGAGAGGGCCTTGAAGAAGGGTTAGAGTGAGAATAGCCAAATAGGGGCAATGAGATGTGTGTGGCACAGCAGAGAACCACGGAAGTGGGGGAGTGTCAGGAAGAAAGTCAGCACAGTTGGTGGTAGAAAGTGAGCCCGTGTGGAAGTGGGCTGCGACAATGAAGTGAGGGAGCTTTCAGAGCCAGGGATGAGCATGTCCTCTTAATCTCTCTCTCTGCTTTGAACCCCGATATGTATCTTTTGTGGTTCCACAGATCAGTCATCCTGCGTTGGATGTTAACTTTTCATCCATGTAGCAGTTGCCTCCAACTAGATTCTTGCAGAGCTCTGCCCTTTCTCGATTGCTTTCTATGCCCTCACGTATGTGGCACACTGCTTTGTATGTTTCAGCTACTTAATACAGACTTGTTCACTAGACAAAATATTTGTATGTTTTGAGCTGTTTCTCCATAGCAAGTTGCCACCTTGTGGTGTGGGGACCATGGGGTGTTGGCACAGGCAGAGTGAGTGGAGGCAGCTAGTCCACAAGCTATTTACATGTTATTATTTCAGTAATTTGAAAACTTGTAAATAATTTGTTATTTACACCTTATTTCAATAACTTGTGAATAACTTGTTATTTACACGTTATTATTTACAACCTATTCTGTGTCTATGCAGTGGAAGGCGTGGTGGGGGCACAAAAAATATGAGAAATGCACCTTGCATGGGAAGGATTCTATCGAGAGACAGTTTACCAGCAGAAACAGCTGGAAAATCACGTGACTCAGTTTCACTTGAGCCCTATATTGTGTGGAGTCAGACGATTTCATGGAGGATGTGGGATCTGCCCTGAGATTCACAGGGTTGGTGTGACTGTGGATGGGAGTGAGGAGGGCTTTCTAGGTGAGGACAACAGCATGAGCAAAGTCTCAGGGGTAAGAGAGCAGACATGATGGGGCAATGTGATCACTGCCTCATTTTAAGGGAAGTTGAATCTGAGCCTAACAGGGTACAAGGTTGAATAAGTAGACTGGAGCCAAACTACGGAGGCTTGGGGCAGCAGAACGAGAGGGTCTATGCAGTAAATCAAATGTGTGTGGTCCCACTGGGGGAATGACTTGATATGCATACAGTTTTAGGTTAATCTGTACACGAATCAGGGCTGTACAGCAGTCACGTGGGCATCTTGTAACGATGGAGAGCCTGATAAATACACCCCTTAGAGTGGGGCCTGAGAGTCTGCATTTCTAAATAAGCAACCAGGTGATAGTGGTCATGTCAGTCTGCAGCTCCCACTGAGCAGCGTCAGTTTACATCATGCCTTAGAGAGGGAGGACGTCAGGACGGTCTTACGGCTTTGTCGTTAAAAACCATCAATGCTACTCAGTGGCAGGAGGAGGAAGGTCAAGGAGGGAATGTGAGGCATCTGTGGTACTAGAGCCAGCATGCCAGACCTCACCAAAACCATTTACCCTTCCCGGGCCTAGCTGTGTTGGTCACTGGTCGGGACTCATTGTCACCGTCCTGGAGAGACTTCCACCACGGGCCCCTTAAGGAGCAGCTGTGGGGCTACCCATTTTTCTCTTGGTTCCTCAGCCAACTTCTCCCAGTTTGCCTTCGAGTCCGTGGTGGCCATCGCCAACAGTCTGCACAACAGCAAGGACCTGAGCAAGGACCAGCACGGGAGGAACTGCCTGCTGGCTTCCTACGTGCACTACATCTTCCGCCTGCCGGAGCCACAAAGGGACATGCCCAAGTCAGGTAGAGTTGCCCTGAGTATGGGACTCTGGTGGGCAGGGCGTCGCCACCTCCATTCTACTGTAGTGGAATCCAAAATAAAACATGCTATGCTGGGTGCAGTGGCTCACATTTGCAATCCCAGCACTTGAGGAGGCTGAGAGAAGAGGATCACTTGGAGCCAGAAGTTGGAGACCAGCCCAGGGAACATAAAGAAACCCTGTCTCTACAAAAATAAAAATAAAAATTAGCAGAGTGTAGTGGCACATACCTGTAGTCCCAGCTACTTGGGAGGCTGAGGCAAGAGGATCGCTTGAACCTGGGAGGCAGAGGTTGCAGTGAACTGAGATTGTGCCACTGCCCTCTAGCCTTGGGGGGACTAAGTTAGACCATGAATGAAAAAAAAAATAGTAATTTCTCATGGACTCCCATAACCACTTTTGAAAACATGTCAACACTTAAGGATGAAAAACAGCTGTATACATCATAGACAGTAATCCTCACAAGGTTCAGAGACTCTGGGTTTTTGAATCTGAGGAAACCTCACTGCATGAATTGTGAAGTTGTGATTTAAATATTGATAAATTTAAAATATCCACATTTGTAGCTTCTCATGAGAAATCAGAAGCTCTAGCAACCCTGGGGTCAATCTCCCCATGGCAGTAATAGACTGGAGCCAGTAGTAGCCTCTGCCTTTGTACAAGGCATGTATCAGCTGTTTCCCATAATCCCTACCACTCCTTGGTGCCTCATGCCCCATCTACTTTTCTCCAAAAGATTGCCTCCCTGCCCCAATCAGCATTTACTAAAAAGACCCTAATTCCAAAGCCTAATCCAGTGGGTTTTTATGTACCCTAACACCCTTCAGTTCCTTTTTAAACTCCGTAAGTAATTCTGTTCTTCTGTCTGTTGATATGTCTATACCTGGTGGGGTGCAGGTGCTCCCACTGCCCTCCCTGACCCCCGCCATCACACATATGGACACATATCAGCTGCTGCCGTGAGTTCGAAGCTGCTGCAGGCCCGGGTGATGAGCAGCAGTAACCCAGACCTTGCGGAGACACAATTTGAAGCGGACGAAGTGAAGAACATCATGTCTTCAAAGGTAGGAAAAAATGTCAAACTCTGGAAGGGGACACACCCATTTTTATTTTTTTAACTAAAACTTGGAGAAATAACACAAAAACAATTGTTACTGCCGCCCACTGTGCTGTTCAGATGCTTTAATGCTCAGCTTTGGAGTGATTAACACTTTTTAGAACAGAGTAAGACCATTCTGACAGATGCATCAGCAAGACGAGCATTTGAGGATTTGCTCAGAAGTACTTAACTCGGGTAGCAAAGTTTTAGGGCATTAGGAATTTAGCCACATGGATTCAGTAAATACCATGAACTTGTTTTCTTTTTTTTTTTTTTTTTTTTTTGAGACAGAGTTTCTCTCTTTTTACTCAGGCTGGAGTGTAATGGCGTGATCTCCGCTTACCGCAACCTCCGCCTCCTGGGTTCAGGCAATTCTCCTGCCTCAGCCTCCTGAGCAGCTGGGATTACAGGCACGTGCCACTGTGCTCAGCTAATTTTTTGTATTTTTAGTAGAGACGGGGTTTCACCATGTTGATCAGGATGGTCTCGATCTCTTCAGCTTGTGATCCACCCGCCTCTGCCTCCCAAAGTGCTGGGATTACAGGCGTGAGCTACTGCGTCTGGCCGCTAAAAATTGAAAATCTACTGCTAGGTTCCAGATACTCCACTATATATTTTATTTACTTTTTATTATAGTATAATTTATATAAAGGACCCAAATCTTAAGTGTAAAATGCAGTTAATTTTTCCTGTGAATATGTTTGAGTAATCACCTGTAAGATCAAAAATGTAATTCACTATTCTCTCTCAGTTACAGGTATCCCTCAAGTAACCACTATCCTTTATCAACAGAAATTAACATTGCCTGTTATTGAATTTCATAGTCTTTTGCTGAATATTGTGATTGTGAGATCCTTCAGTGTGGTTGCATGTGTCAGTATTCATTTTTTTCAACTGTATATCATAGTCCTTTGTCTACTATAATTTCTCTAGTGTAAATTCACATTTGGGCTTCTTTCAGTTTGTGGCTATTGTGAAAATAGCTGCTGTGTACATGCCTGTTCATGGTTTTGGGTGGACATTAGGACTCATTTATTTGGGGATGTTAATACAGCCTATTTTTTATTTCAATATACTGTTCTTGAATAATTTAATAAATATGTGTACCTGGTCTTAACAAAATGTCTAAAGAATATACTCAGATCTAGGAAAAGAAGAGCAAACAATTCAAAGCAGGCAGATGGCAGGAAGTAACAAATGTGACAGCCAAAATAAAACAAAGAATAGAAAAACAATCGAGGAAATATGTAAGACCAAAAGCTTGTTATTTGAAAAGAGCAACAAAATTCACCAATCTTGAGCTGGACTGACCAAGAAAAAAGGAAGAAGACTCAATTACTAAAGTCATAATTGAAAGAGGGGATATCACAACAGACCTTACAGAAATAAGGATTATAAAGGAATACTATGAACAATTGAAAGCCATCAGTTTGATAACCTAGACTAAATGGATAAATTTCTTAAAAGATACAGAGTACCTAAATTGACTCCAAGAAGAAATAAAAAATCCAATAGACATACAACAAGTAAAGAGATTGAGTTAGCAATCAAACTTCCCACATATACCTACTATGTACCCACACAAATTAAAATTTTAGACTGGGTGCAATGGCTCACACATGTGATCTTAGCACTTTGGGAGGTGGAGGTGGGTGGATCACCTGAGGTCAGAAGTTTGAGGCCAACATGATAAAACCGTCTCTACTAAAAATACAAAAATTAGCTTGGTGTGGTGGCAGGTACCTGTAATCTCAGATACCGAGGAGTCTCAGGCAGGAGAATCATTTGAAACTGGAAGGCAGAGGTTGCAGTGAGTCGAGGTCATGCCAATGCACTTCAACCTGGGCAACAACAGTGAAACTCCATTGCAAAAATAAATGAATAAAATAAAAATTTAAATATATATATATGTATGTGTGTGTGTGTGTGTATGTATGTATAAAATAAAATTTTTAAAAACCAAAATAAAGTCCAAACCTGGGGAGCTTTACTAATGAATTCTACAAAATATTTTTTAAAGAAATAATTTTTATTTTTTATCAACTTCTGGTCTTCTATTTCAAGGCATAGACCACTATCTGATGAATATAGATGTAATACCCTAAACAAAAACTAGCAAACTGAATCCAACAACACTGTTTAGTATCTAGAACAGTGGTGGTAACTAGGATCTTTTGTGATGGGTCTACTCAAGTTGAATGACGGGCACAGCCTGATATGGGAGCTATGATTATGATGAGGCTAAGTAAAAAGAGTGCGAAATGTGACAAATGATATCTTCTTTGGACTTAAATTGGTTAAGGAAAGTCATTTGTACCATGAATTTGCCATTCCTGCTGTAGAAAAATATAGCTTTGTGAACTTCGTACCATACTCATTTTATCGTCTTTGTAATATTTCCACAAATTCCCAAGATGTCTAGGTAATGAATTTTTAATTCCCTGAAAAATGAGTTTTTACATGTTTCCATTGAGATGTCGTTCATTCATTAGAATAGGTCCAGTATTGCTTTTAGGGCTAGAAGAAATTTTGTTGAAACACAGTGGAATCTTAATTCTCTAACTTTAAATTATCTAAAATCAAAGTAATTGTCATATAAAAATAAACACAGAAAGTATGTGATATTTTTGATGGCTTTGAAATCTTTGATAACTTAATGCTTGATATCACATTCACTATATCTTTATATATAGCACAACATTGGGTGCCAAATATCTACACTCATCCTCAAATATATTTGCAGTTTTCAAAAAAAGCTGAAACTTTGTTATTATCCTTGGTGTTGTTTGTCTTGATGTAGTTGATAAATAAGCTTCTATTTAGAAGCATTGCTGCCACCAAGCAGGTTCAGTTGTACTGGGAAGCCTGCAATTGTGTTTTGAATCCCATAAGGAAAGCTGTCTCATAGACAAAGAAAGAACTTTCTGAAAGTTGGGACCCAGGATGAAAGAGAATTTTAAATGATCAGTGTCATCTAACCTGAGTTTTATTTTAGTATTTTATTTATTTATTTATTTATTGAGACAGGGTCTTGCTCTGTCACACAGGTTGGAGTGTGTGGCACAATCATAGCTCACTGCAGCCTTCAACTCTTGGGGTCAAGTGATCCTCCAACTTCATCCTCCTGTGTAATAACTGGGATTATAGGCACAAGCCACCTTACCCAGCTAACTTTTTTTGCATTTTTGTTGAGACAGGGTTTTGCTGTGTGCCCAGGCTGGTCTCAAACACCTGAGCTTAAGTGATCTTCCCTCCTCAGCCCCCCAGAAGTACTGAGATTATAGGCATGAGCCATCACGGTTAGCCAAGACTTGAGTTTTATTCAAAGCTACGAAGACTTTAGAGTTCAGCTTTATTATAGAACAGTCAGGTTTGCTTTAGATTTTGATATGTTCTTTGGCATTTCCATTTGTGGCCATATTAATGAGTATGCTCAAGTGATATTAAAAAATAAATTGGCCCATGGAAGTAAGTCAGCCTCCTCTGAATACATTAAGGATGATTATTTAAAAGCCTTTAGGACATTTGTCAGGGCCCCTTGAGACAGCCATATTTTTTCATGGACCCATAAAGAAAGAAGAATTAAAAAGCTTACCCAGAATTCAAAATCTCAGAAATGCTGACTGCAGAAGTCCCATTATTTATTTATTTAGAGGCAGGGTCTCGCTCTGTCACCATGGCTGGAATGCAATGGCATAATCTCAGCCCACTGAAATCTCTGCCAACTGGTTCAAGTGATTCTTCTTCCTCGGCTTCCTGAGTAGCTGGAATTACAGGTTTACACCACCACACCCAGCTAATTTTTGTATTTTTAGTAGAGACGGGGTTTTGCCGTGTTGGCCAGGCTGGTCTCAAACTCCTGACCTCAAGTGATCCACCCTCCTTGGCCTCCCAAAGTGCTTTCTTTAAATAAAGTCCCAAGAAGAGACTCTTGGCACAAAAGGATATACCGTATCCTCAGACCCAACTTTCTAAGACTCTTCCAGCTTGTAGCACAAAGGGAGCCTGACAGATGTATGTGAGAGCAATGTCCATTTAAACAACAATATGAATCTTGTGCAAAGTGCAGTTCCCATTTCATCGAGAGAAGGGGAAGTGATTAAGACAGGGGTAAAGGAAACATTGACGAGGTATTTGTGTCTGGTCATGCTGCCTTCAGTTACCTACTGTACTGCTAAGTGCTTCTTATTCATTTCATCTTTTTTTTTTTTTCACTGATGTAGAACTTTGCAAGAGTAAAGATGCAAGTAACCATGTTGCTGGCATTTTTGGTGGGCAGAGCACCAGACTTTAATGAAGAGCACCTGAGAAGATCCTTGAGGACAATTTTGGCTTATTTGGAAGAGGACACGGCCATGCAGATGACTCGTTTTCCCATCGAGGTACACCGAAGCACATACATGTCTCATGCATGAGTTTGGTATCTGCCAACTATTACATATGTATGTATGTACATATAGATGCGATTTATATAGAAACATACTCACATAACATTTGCAAGCATTTATTGTCCAATATGCATGTGCTGTCACTGCTCTGAGAGGTTAAAAAGAAATACGTCCACTACTGTCCCCAAACTCAAGATGCTAACAGTCTATTTGGAGGGCTCAGTCTCAAAACAATTAGGAGTCAGTACAAGACAAGTGATACATAAGTGTCAACTGTGTGGTAAGGAACTAAATGCTATGTAAGGTTAGAGGAAGAGAGGACATGATTAATAAACAATCTGGTGGCCAGGAACACCTGTAGGGACGGATAAGATTAAAAGGCTGACATAGGGTTCAGCTAGGCAGGGGGCAAGTGAGGGGGAAATTATAAGTAGCTGAGAGAATGAATTATTTGTGTCTGAAGGGTTGGTAAAGGGACCAGCTTGTCTGGTAAGGGGTAAGGAAGGGCCAAGTTCAAGAGAGCTTCTAAACAAGGTTGTCCTAAGGAAATGTGTCCTAAGGGCAATAATCTCCTCCATGTCCATTACAATGACCATGGAACTCTAGCCTGTCCCGTTTATCTTTTAACTCCAGCTCCCAGCCTGCTCTATAGTAGGGTCTTAATTAAGTGAGAATGAATGAATGGATGTTTTCTTTTTTTCCCTTAGTCTGAGAACCCTATTTATAAAGTCTCTCTTGCTCTCTCAAGCAATGTTGCATCCTCATTCTTGGAACGTTTTTCCTCTCCTCTACCTCAGATCCTTCCTCTCTCATTTAATCTTGACCATACTCCTTTAATTTCATCATTTATGAAGAGATATTCACCAAGACCAATCAAAATATGGACAGTTTAATAATTGTCTTCAGTGCCTTCACCCAATGAAATGACGCTAGTGGTAGGAATTTTAGGAGCTCTGGCAAGCTGGCAGAGGGGAGGGGGGATAAGGCAACATACTGTAGCTGAGTCACCTGTCACAGGCTACAGGTCAAGACATAGTCTCTCATTCTTTCTGTACTGCAGGCTCCCCTATCCCTCCACTGTTGGCTTTTGTAATTAAGAACAAATGATTACAAGAGGTTCTTAAATCTTTGAAGCCCTGGGAAGATCTAAGAGGCTTCTGAGACATGGAACCCAAGCTGAGGTCCTAAGCTGCTTCCTACTTGGTATAAAAAGCCCTGATATTCCAGAGTAGAGTTTAGAACTTTTCAGTTTACAAATTACTGAAACTGGTTGAAACTAATTTAAACAAAAACATTGGAGAAAGACATAGTATGAGGATTCAGGCAGATTTATGGATTTCCAGGGCGAACACACATCCAGACCTTAGAAGCACCTGGGCTGGGGAAGATGAAAACTACAGAGTCAGGTCTAGGTGACTCTGCCACCCCTAGTCTCTGCTCCCCTCTGATCCAAGCCTTCCCATGGCTTCCCCTTGCATTTTCAGTGTAATCCTAACTCTTCACCTGGGACTACAAAGCCGAGATTATTTCAAGGCTTACTCTTTTTGCAGGTGGAAGAATTTCTCTGTAATCTGAATAGCATCTTATATGACACGGTGAAGATGAGGGAATTTCGGAAAGATCCTGAGATGCTCATAGATCTCATGTACAGGTAAGCTTTCCTGACACCCTTTGAAGGGGTTGAAGATTTGTCACTGTGGAGTTCTTACTGATGTAATGATCACAGGTAACATGGATATAGTGGTTTGTGTGACATTTGAATACTATATAGAAATTAAACATTCAGAGTGGGTTAATTCATATGTAAATTTTCAGAAGGATTCCCTAATTTAAAGTGACACATTATTTAATAACACTATCTTCTACTTACCACGGAATCAGAGAAAAGAATAATCAAATGTTATAGGAATTATTTTCTGTATGGTTTTCTTCCAATTATATTCAGACATACACATATAGTTTTACTTTAGAAATTATTATTTATACTGTAGTTTAAAACTTGGTCTTCCAGTCCTTGTTCGGGAGAAATTACTTACAGAGGCAAAATTGTTCTGATGCACCATCATACAAAGGGCAGTACTTTTGTCTTCTGTTTTATTTTGAGAGAAATGAAAGAAAAGGCAGAAAATTGCTTGAGAGCCATTAAAATAGACATCGTGTTATCAGGTATTTTTTCCCCCGTAAGGCTTTTACTAAGTACTATTTCTTGGATGTCAGCACACCTTAAACATGGAATGAAAATCAAGGGACTAATAACCCTAATCCTATCCCTTTTTCTAGAATCCCAGGAGTTTAGGCAAGTGTGTCATTTAATGGGTCTAAACTCTGTTCTCAGTTATTATTCTTCCAGGGCCTGACATTTATGGGCACATTCTTATAATTTTACTAATTTAAACAAAATAAGGTATATGGGAAACCACTGTCAAGGTCAAAATTTTGAAGCTGCATTAATTTAACCTAGGAAGAACGAAGCTTATAAAGTGTCTATCATGAGAATCCACCTGGGACCTATACAACAGATCAAATACCCAACAAATTGCCACTTTGGAGCCCCACAGAATTCTGAATCCCAACCAGCAAGCATGAATAATCCTTTTAAATGGAAACTTAGGTATCAGAACAAGTCCTTTGTGAAATTTGTAAGCAAGGCCTCTGGTTTCCGACTGAAACAGAGATTTATGGGGAAGGGGGTGGGTAAAGTGAAATCAAGAACTACTGGGAAATTTCCATGTGAAAGAAGGACAAATGGTTTTTGTTGGCAGAATAAAACTAGCCACCCCTAGCCATGGTTAGGAAGGTGGCTGGCTAGCCCCTGGGGGAGTTGGACAATATTCTCAACTAGTTTATCAGGGACCCTTTTGATCCAATTATAGCTACTGGGAAGACACAGTAATACCATATTATCAGAAGACCTACTTTCAAATTCTGGGTGAATTTCTAATTCACTGTGTGACTTTGTACAAGTCACTTAAGCTCTCTGATTATTGGTTCAACATCTTTACTATGGGGAGAGTAATGCCTATCCCAATTACCTCAAGAAATTAGTACAAAGATCAAGGGAGATGATAGGTATACAAATTCTTTCTACATTATAAGATTTTATATAAATGGAAGGGTTAAATACACTCCCGTATTATTAAATACCCGACATAGCTCTCAGGATCCTATATGACTCTGAGTTCTCAATTTCTAAAAATGGTCCCATTTTTGCTTTGTTCCCTATGGAGTCTTTTTTTTTTTTTAAAGGAGGGGTGTAAGCAAAAGTTAAATGGGAGAAAACATGGAATCACATACCACTCTTGCTGCTAGGCAAGAATTTTAAACTGAGTTTAGTTCATCATCATGGACTTGATGTCCATATCACCTCAAGGAGACAAGTAGAGTGGGAGGCATCCAAAAGGTAGGTGATTCTTCTCCCCTCTAGTGAAGATTACAAGGTCTATTTGCAAAAAGTACTACCAGCAAATAATTGGAAAATTAAATGTATAAAACATTTACAATAGCATCAAAACAAAGAAAATACCCCCACAAAATTAACAAAAATTGTATAAGATCTCTACATTAAAAGTAATGAAATACATGTAAGAGAAATCAATGAAAACATAAATAGAGAGATATATCACATTCATGTATTAGTAGACTCAATATTATTAAAATACAATTCTCCCCAATGGCTCTATAGATTCATCATAATCCCAATCAAAATCCCAATAGGCTCTGGTAGAAACTGAGATGTTGGTTCTAAAATTAAATAGAATGCAGAGGACCTAGAATATATAATTTTCCTTTAGTTTGACAAAGAAGAAAAACATGCTGGAAAATGTTTTCAGTGTAATATTTACATAAGAATCAACAGATAGATCAGTGATACAGACAGAGAATCCTGTAATAAATCCACATATATATAATCCGACCTCAAAACCCATGCTTTTTCCCCTCACTTATACATACATCCTTTCAAATTAATAAGTTTTATTGCTAAACATTTATGTCATATTTAATATGTACGAGGCACCATGTTAAATATTCTACATGAAACACCTCATTTGGACTTTATAACAATCCATATGAAGATACTATTATTATTATCCACACTTTACAGGTTAGAAAACTGAGGCACAGAGATGAAATAAGTCTCCTAAATTCCCATGGCTAGTAAGTGGCAGAAAGAGGAATTATGCTCAGGCCACCTGATTCTTTAGCTTCTACCCAGTACACTATACCATGTTTTCATGCTTTCAGCACATTCCCAGATAGAGCAGGGGAGAATGAGTCCCAGCAACCAACAAAGGAAACATTGATGTCACAAGTGTACCATAAAGTTTTTCACAGTGACATCCTTGCTTACCTGTCCAGGGTTGTGCTGGTTGGCATACTTCTCCCAAATCCATGGATCCCCATCTGACGGAAATACAGAATGCAAGACAGGTTGGCAGCAATAATGGCCAGGGAGTCAGAAGGGCTCACAAAGAAGCCATTTTGGCCTAGGATCATACAACGGTCCTGTAGGAAGGAGTGTGTGAGAATGATCAGACAGAAGCATCTGCTGCTAGCAGCCCATTCCCATAATCATCAGAATCCACTTTACTGCCATCTTAAATTTAACAACCTAACAACTTGAATGAGGCCAAAGAGAGCATGGGAAACATTCTTCTAAATCCCTGAGTATCAAGGGCCCAGAATCTTGACACATCAGGAATATGTTTCACCTGTTGAAATGTAGATGACTACCTCAAACTTGAGAAGCCCGCAAATACTTAATTCTTTCTTTCTCCTAAATGTAATAAAGAACAATGGTTCTTGCAGAAATAGCTAATTTCTTAACATGGTGCTTTCCACAACACCAGCCATAAATAAAAATTTATTGAATAATATATATTTTTAAATAAACAACCTTTTTATGCCATAAAGTAAATCTGGAACTAAAAAAAGTAATCACTATTTAATTGCAATACTTAGCCATTAAACAGAAGAGCAGATGCAAAGCCAGTTAGGGCACCCATGTCCCATACATGTTAGCTCCAGATGTGTTCATTCTCTGCTTTCTAGTGTATGGCTCATTATATGGTCGAAATGTCAGCAGAAAGAGAGCTTTCCCACTTACCCCGTCAGCATCAAATGCAGCTCCAAATCCATATTCTCCTTCTTTCATGGCTTCCGGAAGAGTCGTTGAATATGTCAGGTTTGGGTCAGGATGCTGCCCTCCAAAGTCTTCCAGAGGAACACAGTTTATTGCAGAATTGGCTGGGGCCCCCAGCTCATCACACAGAACTTTTCTCACATAAGGTCCCATAACTAAAACTAGATACACAGCAATATGAAATATTTGCAGAACCTTCTCTTCAGAGTATTTTGTTTTGAATAGTACAGGAAACACCATTTAAAAACCCAGAAGCAAAAGATACATTTACAGGCTTTTTGAAGACACAATATAGAACCATATTTGCTTTAATTATTTATTGAGCACCTACTATGTGCCAGTTATTGTGTTAGGAATACTCAAGATGTATTCAATCATCTCGTTACAGAAATTTTTTCTCCTAAAACTTCTCTAAAATGTTGCCAGAAAGAAATCAGCTACATAATAATGATTCATTGTTGCTTTTCATGTTTGAAAAGCTTTAGCTGAATATACTCAAAATCATCAAAGGGCTCTAGCAATGTGCTTTGTCTCTGCAATCATCTGGACTCTGCCAAGTTATAATTAAACACTATAAGCCACTGAAGCATATAAAAACAAGCACATTTTACCAAAATAAATGCCAAGGAATAGTATTTTTCAGTTCAATGAACATTATGAAGTGCCTAACATGGAACTGCTCTGCTAGGAAATGAAGGGATCATATTGAAGAGATGCAAAGCATATAGTTTCTACATTCCTGAACTTGTAATCTAGTAGTGGGATGAATCAAAGCTGCAGATCAATGACTGCCGTGGTAAGACCAAACAATGCACGTTGATAAAATAATCATATCCAATGGCTTAAGAGAAGCAATAACCACACATAAGACTTCAAGGAAGAAGCAGCATTTCTGGCAGAACTTGAAGGAATAATATAAAATTGACAAGCATTTGGGTTTGAAGTCGGAAGGCCATCTAAACAGAAGGCACATTATGAGCAAGGGAACAGAGCCTAAGGTACAGCACAAGGCACATTTGGGGAACAGCACATAATCCTCCTAGCTGAAATGTCTGAGAGATGCTTTCCACTCATTTTCCACCAATACAACACACAGTCATCTAATAGTGAACATCTATTGATTGTGCCTGCCCAGCACACATTTCCCCTTCCTCTGGATACAGCATTTGGGATTTCTGTTGGAGAAATACTATCTTCCCTACCTCAGTTCATGGGGTTGGGTATGGCTAAATCCCACTTCTCCAAGGCTAAGGAGGTGACCTAGGTCTGCCCAATCAGTGTCCTCCATCTCCTAGATAGAGTAATTGATCCAAAGGTGGATATACAATTTAAGCTAGGCAATGAGGCTGAAGCCCAGAAACATTGCTCATACTATTTGGAAAAAGAAGCAAAACTGTCTTTCCTGTAGGCCAGATAATGCTAAGGCAAGAACCTGAAAGTTTTTTTCCTGAGGAATTTGATCAGCCCAATAAGAAAGAACAGAACAGCCTAGCCAGAAGCCTTTGGAGTAA